CCTTGTAACCGATCACGAGCCATTACTGGCTCTCAAGAAGCTCACTAATTACACATGTATGATTGGACGGTGGGCAGTGCGCCTACAGGAGTACGACTTCGACATCCTCTATCGGAAGACCGAGAGGCACCGCAACGCGAACGGAATGACACGTCCGCATCGCCACGCTAAGGTACCTAAGGGTGAAGAAATCATTCCGTGGAAGGGACCGGAGTCAGCAAACGGACCCAAGTACGGGCAAGTGTCAGTCCCTCCACGTGGCAAGAAGCAGGCGATTGGCAATGGGTGACGGAGGTAATCTTGCGACTCCTCTCTCTCCCCTCTCATCCTCATCTCTTCTCTTCCTACCTGACAAATTTAGTTATTTTTGTGAAGCAATTTCGCCCGTCTACTCGGTCCCTATGTGTACTAGTGGGGAGGGTTATGCTGAATGGATAGATTGTCGGCAGTGTGTCGCACGAGCCCATGGCTTGTGTCCCCTGTGTCGAGCTGATAAGATCCCGATCGAGGCTCGATTTCTTGAAGCCACGTCGGAAGGGTTGGAAAAGACCCGGAAGTTTAGAAGGGTCAAGGTGTGGACGGACATTGCTCTGATCGCCACCATGGTAGGTAACCCCCTCCAGGACTTCACTAAGGAAGACCGGAAGAGGGCCAATGCAAGGGCTCAGGACTATCGCTGGATCGAAGGCCGGTTAGAAAAACGGAAGACGGATGGTAATGGGATTTGGATGGTAGTGCCGCACCCGTTCATGAGGTATGACCGGGTTAAGACGGCGCACGAAGAAACTGCAGCCCATTTTGCCGTCCGAATCACGGAAGCCGCCGACAAGCGGCAATCGACAAAAATAAGTGGTATTGGTCCAATATTCTATGAATCCCCGTCGGCGGCGGCCAAGCGCGGCCGAATCCGCGGACGCAGCCAGGCCGCCGACCCCACGGACGTGTCCGCGCGGATGCGCGGCTTTGAAGCCACGTGGCGCCCAGTGGGGAGAGGGGGTTGGGGATTCGAGAAGCGCCATGGGGCGGCACAACCCCAGCCCCACCCCCTCGAACAAAAAAAAATAAAAAAAAACAAATTTTTGGTTGGGGGGGTTCGGATGAGTAAAGGTATTTCG